GAGAACCCCCTTTCCGAAGGGGAGCTGGCACTGTGGGGATGTCCACGGCTCTCTGAAGACTTGCTCATTGTGGCTAGCCCGGGAGGTCTCATCTCGCTCTCGAGGTCGCTGGAGCTGGTTTTAGATACACTATTATGTAGATGTTGGATTATCTGCTTTAATACTCTATCATTCTAGTGGAACCTCCTCACATTAGAATTTGCTGGAATAGAAATCGTGCTACCAATATTCAGGACAGTAGAAAAATTAACAAAAGCATTCTGCAGATGCCTATATATTTTTATAGATAAATTACATAATTCCTTCATAATGCTATCTGGTGTGGATCTGATTACACAGTTGTACCTAGCTGCAAAGGAGTCCACATAAAGCAAACTTTCAGCAGTTTGCATTATTATCCCTAACAATATTGTGGTTCTGATCTAAGAGGAAAAGAGAAATGATGTTAGGAACACCGAATGGGTCTTGGTATTATTCTTGCTTAGAACAGGGGGAATATGTGAGAATTAGGTACAGCAAATGTGCTAAGCCTTGCTTGTGATGAGAAAGACAAGGAGGACTGAATGCAATTACTGGCAATCTGACAATCCATAAGATTAGGAAATATGCTGAGCTGGATGCAGGGTGGAAAAGAGAGAAGGTATATTGGGAAAAGCCTAGATGGCTGCTTAACTGAATTGAAGTGGGGGAATTAGGTACACTTAATTCCCTCACAACTATGTATGAAAAGGGGATTCCTCTTAGCTTGACACATGGTCCTTTGTGAGTCACTTGGATATTTTCTATGAGTATTTATCCTTGTGTGAACTCATCTCATTTTTGAGTGATCAGGAAAGGGACTAGCTTTAGCATCCATACCTAGACACTGGACACAGGGGGAAAACATATTTTAAAAAACTAATGATAGACTAAAAATTCTCACGCAAAAATGTTGCCATGGAGAAATAAAGAGTATGATCAAACATATCAGTAGGAATAAAAATAACATGGTGATGTAATTGCATCTAGACAATAAAGATATGAAAGTTAGATGCTGTAAGCAGACATGAGAGACAGGGAAAAAAATAAGCTCTACAGTTGGAATAAAGTGGCACTGAAAGTGGTACACATGGCTGAAAATAAGGTAAGGATAAGAAAAATGTAATTGGCCTGAACGCTTTTTAATTTTTTAAAGAGAATACAAAATAGTAATAAAAATTAGAAATGAGCAAAATAGTATGAATTCAACAGTATTTGTTGTATTGCATGGTGTTGTCTTCAATTTAGTTGTTCAGATTACCAGATATATTCATGCAAAATTGGAAAAAGAAAGAAAAAAAAAGAAGAAAAAATATAAGAAACTAAGAAGAGAGAAAGAGAAAGAGGAAAAAATGAAAAAAAGAAGACAAAACATGAAACATTCACTGCTCCTTTCCTTAGACCAGCAGCAGTGCACAGTGCAGTTGTCCAAGGTATCCTGCATACATGCATAGATATATCTCTTTCCCCATTCCCCCTCCTTTCTAACATTCTAAAAAGATAAGGGAAAGCAAAAACAGATAGAGAAGACAGTCCTGATAAGTTTAGAATACTGTATCATAATAAGAGACAATGATGAAGGTAACCCAACTGAAAGAAACTGAACTGTTGCTTAAGGATACAGATTAAAAAAGCTGTCCAGAAATAAAAGAAAGCTTGAATCTGTAAATTAAAAGGTCATATCATATTTTTGAAAAAGATGGTCTTAAGTAAAGTAAAAGCAAGGCATAGATTATTAAGTGGTGGGCTACGTTCTATATAATAAATGAGTAGCTGAAGATCAATGAAATCTACAAGAACTATCAACTGTGTTTGTTTTAGGAAACATATATTTTTTTCTCAACAGAGACTGCTAATTTCTTGCTAAGTATTCAAACTGTCTCCGAATTTCAAAATGCTGATTTTATCACCTGGTGGTACCATTCTGCAATTTGCCAACTCTTTTTCAGTTTAAGACCATGGTCTCAACAAGGGCTATTGCTCTCATACCCTTTGGTATATTTGATGATGTCTGAACACAGTTTTAGCTGCCAAAACACTTTTAGCTGTGTTTTATGGTTCCTGGTGACACGCTAGCAGGACTTCCGCTAAATGCCTTGGGATGTGAAGGACAGCTTCCATAGCAAAGAATGATCAATTATAAAATGATCTTGGTGCTGAGGTTGAAAAACCCTGGCTTAAATTATGAACGAGGAGCTGTCAAAAGAAATAATGTGTGGATCTTCTTGGGATTCACCTAACTCAGAACAAAAGAAGCATGGCCTTCTTCCTCCATCTTTCATTCTGCACCTTAGAACATGGATGTGAGATCTAAGTTTGATCAGGCAAGATGGACTATAAAGGAAAGAGAAATGCTTTAAGTATAGTGGAATGGAGAACTGGAAGAGCCTAGGTTCCTGGGACATTTTTCCCTTCTTTGCTTTATGCAGTAACTCATGAATTGTTTTTGCATGCTTATGCTGGGTTTATGGGGCTTTGCAGTCAGTTGTGAACTTTTACCTGAGTGAGATGGGAAACCATTAGAGAATTTTAAGCTGAAGAAGGATGCAAACTGGCTTTGCATTTTAAAGGATCACTCTGGCGATTGAGATTTACTCAGTTGGGAGTTGGATGGAGAGGGAGCAACCAGGGAAAATTATTACAAATAGTCATGTAATCAACAATGACAACTTAGATTAAATAACATCGTGAAAGTCATGATAACTGATCTGATTCTGGAATACTTGTATGGCAATAGGGTTGATCTGCTTATAGATTGAGCAGACAATCTTAGAGCTAGAAAGCATCAGTGGTGATGTCAAGGTTTTGGCTAGAGTGTAGGAAGGATGGAGTGCCACATATTGAAGTGGTTAACTGCTGTAGGGGGAAAATTGATTTTGAAAAGTTTATTAGAAATTCTCATTAGACATATGCTTTCTTGTTTGTTGAACTACTGGAAATCACTGTTTTGACCTATAAAAATGACAATCTTATAAGCGCTCACCTGTATAAGTTTGCAGTTCAAAAGGGAATTCTGAGCTGGGCTTATACATTCTGCGCTATCTGCAGCACAGAGATTCCCTTAAACTTTGTCAGACTGTGTTATCTTCCAGGCTATAGGCATAGATAAGTCCCTGTTAAACACAAGGTAAAATGTTGATAGAATTGCTTTTTACCAGACTGGGAAAACATTTTGTAGAAATATCTTCCTCAAACCTGAGAGAGAATGAGAATTTTGCATCTGTGGGCAATATCAAAATTTGGTACTGCTGGTTACCTTGCCCTGGGGGAGAGGGGACACTGCTCTGGGCTTGACAAGCCACACAAACTAGTGTCCGATTGGCAAAAATGTGACCAACAGTGGATTTGTTTCAATTCATTTGTTTTCTGGGCAGAGGAAAACACTTCTCTTTTTAATTCCTCTCCTCTCTATCTTTCAGCATTTAAAACTTCTTTACTGAATACTAAAGTATACAGGGAAACATTTACTGGTCATAAGGAAAGAGCTCAGTGAATATTCACTAAATACATATGAAAGTATAATCCAAATCAAAATTATAATACTGCTCATTACAGTAGCAGCAACTTCCCTCATAAGTGCTCACTCATTACGGTCACTCCAAACACAATTTCCACTCTAATACCATGAAAATGCATTTTTCCAAAGTATAAATTCTGCTACTCATGGATGTTTGGAGTTCTTCTGTTGTTGGCAGCTGTGAATAATTCTCTTATGATGGTTCTTATTCATGTGTTTTGATGAATGTTTGTCTTTACTTTTGCTGTAATCTATGTGGGGGTGGAATTTCTGGATCAGAAGAAATACATGTGTTTGGGTTGAGTAAGTACAGGCCTTCTGGATGCTCCATTCTTCTGTCAACACTTAGCATTGTCTGTCTTTCATTTCAGCCAGGTCATAGTTCTGGATTCCATTTTTTAACAACGAATGGAACCCAGCATTTCTGTGTGCGTATCCTAGCCATTTTGAAACCCTCTTTTGTGAAGTGCCTGTTTATTTTTCTAAGGTTTCTATTCAGTTAATTTCCCTTCTTTGTATTCTTTATAAATTCTAGATGTGAGACCTTTTGAGGATATGTGTTTGACATATTTTTTTTTTAATCAGTGGAGTGTTTTTTATTTTAAAAGATCTTTTACTTATTTATGGATTTGGTACAGGGTCTTGCTGCACAACTCAAACTTGTCATGATCTTCCTATCTCAGCCTCCCCAGAGACAGGATACAGGTGTGTGTCACCATGCCAGGTTGTAGTGGCTGGCTCAGCAGGCCCAGGGTTCCGGGGCTGGAATGGCATGTAGTACCAGTGATCAAACCCCAGTCCTTGTCCTTGCCACTCAGGTGCTTAGGCCGCCGAACTATCTCCACAATGGCATATTTTTGATCAGCAGATTGACTTTCTTTTACTTTTTTATTTTAAAGAGTAAGAAAACTTAAACAAATGACAGGAACAAGACAAAAGAAAAAGCAACATAGAACAGTAAAAATGGTTCAAAATTTCAAAACAAGAACAGAAAATTAATGATGGCTGCTGTATTACATATTGCCATTCTCAGATTTGTTTCTCAGATGACCAGATATAGGCATGCCATATTTCAAACAAGTAGCAATATTTTTTAAAAAAGTAATGGCATCCAGTTTATTAAAATTTTCTCCTGTGTTTAGTGTAGTTTAGACTCGTTTGAGAGTCATTTATTTTCCTCAAGATAGTGAAGCTATTGTTCTTTGTTTTCTTTGAAAAGATGTAGTTTACCTTTTATATCTTTATCTACAACCTATTTTAAATTGATTTTTGTAGGCACTGGGTACTGAGCTCAGGGGCACATGCATGCTAAACATGTCTTCTATCACTGAGCTATACCTCCAGCCCTACAATTGATTTTTGTGTTCAGTGAGTGCTATGATCTAAGCTTCAATTTTTTTTTCTTTTAAAATATCCAATGTTCTGAACATAAATTTTTTGAACAATTACATTCATATTGTATCTTCTTTGTCATAAATTGGCTGTAGACATGGAATCTGTTGCTATATTCCATTCTTTTGCACTCTCTTTTTTAATGTATTTAATACAAGGTCTACA